TTGAATTTCAAATCGTCGTATCTCCCTGGAGGAATTGGCGCCGATCCAATCGCGATTCCACGCTTACCTGCTTGCACTCCCTCTGTTTCCTGGATCTTCCTCCTGCTCTTTTTTTTTTTCTCTCTCTCCATCTTCCTTTCTCGATCTCGCTCTTTCTCTCTTGCCCCTTTTATATTCGTGCTCGTAATCATGTCGTATATCGGGGACGAGCAAAACTGGGTCGTTGGAACCCGCAAGGCACAGGGAACACGGAAGAAAAGGGCAACGCAGGGGTGCAAGGTGCCTTGACTTTCTCACCCTGAAACTTCGAGTGTCGTAACAATTGGTACTTCGCGCAAGACAACCTTCTCGAGCCCGGAATCACTTGACTTTCTCATATCGAAGCTGTCACGGTTGGAACAATCTTTATTTCGTGCTGGGCGAGCTTATTATCCCATGAATGTCATGATAGTCTTCGATAGGCGGATTTTATGCATTTATGATATAAATTGATGTATTAAATACATACTAAACGGAACTAAAAGAGGTATGTGCACAAAATGAAATTGAAGTATTATTTTATTAATTGGAGAATATATTGAACACGTATACGTATATGGATTTATGATATAAATTGATATATTAAATACGTACTAAACAGAACTAAAAAAGGTATGTGCACAAAATGAAATTGATGTATTATTTTATTAATTGGAGAATATATCGAATATGTATTATGTACATTTTTTTTAATGTTTCCTGCATTACTCTACGCCATAAATACACAAAATCAGCAGTCTAGTTGTGGTAGTCATCGTTTAGTGTAAAGAAAAATTCTTAACCCAAGAATTACCTGACTTAATCACCTTGACACTTTGGATGTCACCAATCGTTTCGTTGCGTAAAATAAGGTTGTTAATTCCAGAATGACATGACATTCCTAACTTCAGAACGAGTCGACTCAATCACCTTAAACCTTTGAATGCCACCTACAATCGTTACTTTGTGCGATAGAAATTTCTTAACCCTAGAATCACTCCATTTGGCCACCTTGAAACAACGAGTATCGTGACATTTGTTAATTTGTGCAAAACAAGCATCCTAACTCCGGAACGAGTTGACCTCACCATCTTGAACCTTTACATGGCTACCAACGTCGTCATTTCGTGGAAGAGAGGCTTCGTAAGCTCAGAAATATCCGACTCAATCTTCGGAATTAACTTCAAAATTGTAAGGCCCCGTTTGGATGGCCCCGAAGGAACCTTTAGAAACGCACGGTGTCAGTCGAGACGACAGAAATTCCTGTTAAGGTTGACACTAGTAATGCTAAGGTATGCGATTGCGCAAACACGAAGACAGGTCGCAATGTCGACGTCATCGACGCCCCTCGGTCCGTTGACTTTCGCGGTTGGCCATAAATAATCGGGTAATAATCGATACGTCCAACATTAAGTGGAGAAGCCCGCCAAAATATTGGCCCCGTACAACAGGTTGTATTTTTCACGGGGACTGACGTTTACACGCCGCGGTTATTTATCTGTAGTTTTGTCAGAAGCGATTGTTAACTCTTTAAGGGACGCGGGACGACCCGACCTTAACGAAATCACTGGAGCTCACTGTTCGACTCGATGCGATTCGGAGGTGACGTTTGAGCTGTTCACTTTGAAAGTGGCACGAACTCGTTTTTTTTGTAAAATGGAGTTTTTGTAAGCAGTGATTACCATATGTACACCCTCGCTCATAAATAAGGGGACGCTTACTACTTTCAATGAATAATTAATAATGTACACCGTAAATTATTACTATACACAACATAGTTGATTCGCAATTTTTATTAGATATTTGTGACGAATGTGATTGTGTGAATGACTATTGTGGTGATTGTAATAAAAGCCATGTGTTTTACAATACATGCAATTACACCTATTTCCTTCGTACAATTAAATACTTAATCTTCGCGAATGGACATTGTCCATGGTCCGCAAAAAAATATTCATAAATAATCTATTATCGTTGTTAATCAAATAATATCAAACGCTGAAGATCATGAAAGGTTTATTGAACAGAATGTTGCAAGCTTTACCATTCCTCGAATCCGACATACGTTTAAAGTATAATGCTCCCATTGCTTTATTAATCCCCTGAGAGTCTCGTTTTTACTGGCATCGAATAAACTTATTTAAATGAAAAACATTTCTGATACCAAAAAGATGAACGAACCTAATAATAGACACTGGGAATACAAGAAACAGTCAGCCTGGGCTTTATTATCGTCGGATCCGATAGTACCCCGGATGGTCGTTGACCGACATCTGGAAAATATGCCTTCGTACTATTAACCTCTTTCAGCTCTTTTTATTCGTTCCATTAAGAGTCCTTTTACATCCCTCTGAATGGCGGACTTCCGTTTTTCTAGGGTTAAACGTTTCATTTAGGACGCGCAATTTTTCCCTTCGTCTCTCTTGCTCCGGATGAATTTTTTTTCTAAAGTGAATGTAATTACAGCGAGTTCCATTTGAGAGGCGCGAAAACTCCCTGTCTAAGAGACGCGTGATTATTACCACTAACTCTAATCAGCACGTTTCACATTTGAAGGTATATAGATAACAACGTTTGTACTTTTGACGTCTAAGAGGCGTATTGAAGCCAGTGTCTCTTACACAGGGTTCACTGTACACAGTTCTAGCTTCTCTTCGATATTGATAATCTTGACTTCTTTAATTTAAACCTATCAAGCTGATCTATTTGACCCATGTACTTCAAACTTTCTTTTAGTATCACTTAATTCTTGACAATGATTTTACTTTAATTTTTGGGGGGACAGCTATCATAGCAGAAAATCAATTTTATAATCGATATTATTATAAAGGTAACTCTAACTCCGTTAATTTTCTAAATTTATTAATAAAACTTCAACTGTGCATTCGTAAAATTACACGCTTTCACAAAATAACACAAAACGATTTTCATTTATCTAACAACGCAGAAATCCCCTTTAACGCTACGAGTGCCAGGCATAATCATGAAAACAATTGCGAAGCTAAACTTTATTCCTATACAATTGAAACTATTTATATAGTGAACATCGTTCTATGATCAATGATCTGTCATTCTATAACCGTGCTACCAACACTTGCGATAGTATTTATTTCTACGATTCACGAGTCCTATCCAGGCTTCTTTCTTCAGAACGAATTTTACAATTCCTTAATGAAATTCCCTGCGACCCTAACATGACACGGCGACCGACGCGTTCAACGTTCGCGTGAGAACAGACAGAAGAATCTTTTACTGCCGGTCCCATAAAACGGGCGCGGTGTTTACACAGGGCACGGTAACTAATATAAAGTTACCGTATTCGCGTGCGCATTGACAGGAATGTTGCGCAACAACCACCGCCGTTTTCGTTCCGAAACTTGCGACATCTAGATTTATATATCGACGTCGAGCGGTGGGTGCAGTGTACCTGTTTACGTCCCGCGTCGCAGGGACTCCGCTGTAAATCAAATTCCGGCGTCGCGCGGTCCTGGCATTGTTCGATACCAGTATTTAAAGTGCATCCAGCACGAGCAGGTGCCGTTACCAGACGGATTCGCGCTTCTTCGGCCAGGTCAGATACGGCGCGCTTTAGAACCTACAATAAAGTCAGTTTACTACGGTTCATTGAGACTGGTATCGCCCCCCGATTGTTGATCTGTGTTCATCGACGGTCGTAAAACGCTTCTCGACGATCCCCGCGGACTGGACCAGCTCATTTCGCTGTCGCTTCTTCCCGATAGCTCATGCTCGCCTACAATTACAATGTTGCTTCTTGTGTTCTTGCTCGATAGACAGGCTCCATTCAAAATCAACGCGTTTGTGAGCATTGAATTAAACACGTAATATCTTCGAGACTAAATCTTCGAACAATTGATGCTAAATTACGAATGCATTTATTAATCGAACTGAATGTATTTAAACTAACAGAGCGGAGAAATCGAATATAATAACCAGTATTTAAAAAAGGGACACTATGTCATGTTTGACTTGTCTTTTTATTTCGTTCGCGAAGGGCTTTGCAGAACGGACTTTAAGATGTTCTTTTTTTAATAAAACAGAAATGGTATGAAAATTTGAAATGAATGTATGATACACATGATTACAATGAAAAGTGAGAGCTGATGTTTAATACAGACAGGCGTATTTACTTATTAAGAAACAAAATCGTGACGCCTCTTTTGAAAAACTCTTTACAATGTTTCGCAAACGGCAGATTTAAAATCGGGCCGACGTTCGTGTCGAAGTGACCATCGCTTGAGAATTTTTCTTTCCATTTTTCCCGGAATGGTACTTCGATTCGATTTTTCTGATATACTACCACTCGTTATAATAATGTATCGACGAAGTTTCACAAGGGATGATAGCGAACTGGGAAATTCAGAGAATTTTGAACCATAGCGTGTAAGTAGAGTAAGCGGTGTAACTAGAGTATGTAAGCAGTTCATCCGTGACAGATAACCATTTCTCATTCGTGCCATAATACGGTTAGGAGGCTGAAATCGGCATTTTAAAAAATTCAGATATTTATATTCTTAGCTAGTTATGGCTTTAGAGTTTTCACTTTTTACACCTATGTACATTTGAACATTAATAATTCTTCCGAAGTACTTTTTGTACGTACTTAAGAGAATTTGTGGATCTCGAAATGTTCATAAATATAAGATAGAGCAAATTTCTATTAATACTAGCTAGAGCACAGTTTAAGAGATACTGACTCAATGAAATATTCATGAATATCGGTGACTGTAAATTTTTAAATATACTAGTTGGAGCGTGATGTCATAATTATCGGTCGGAGCAAATTTGTATAAACACCAGCTAAAGCATAGTTTCGTAAATATTGCCTAGATCAAATCATTATAAATACAGGATGGAGTAAATTTTCATTAATTATTGCTACATCAAATTTTTATAAGTACTAGCTGAATCATAGTTTCATAAACACTGCCCAGAGTATATTTTTATGAATGCAAACTGAATACAATTTTCATAAATACTGGTTAGAGCAAATTTTTACGAATATTAATTGGAGAAATTGTATCATAAATACTAGTTCGAGCAAATCGTCATAAATACTAGCCGAAGGCAAATTTTCATAAATATTAGGTGCAATAAATTTTCATACGTTTGAAAATGTTGGAGCAGGAATCATCAAGAATTCACCGCGATGAGACACCTAAACCCAAATACGATATAATATTCGTCTCCACTCACTTTCCACCGATTCCCAATTCACACTTCCGCCGTGTAACATTCATTAACGTCCGAGAGAGGTTCATTCATTTCAGAGGTAGAAGGGTGCTCCAAAACAGTCGAGAGCTAGATTCGGAGAACGTCGAAAGAAAAAAAAAAAAAAATAGTGTCGGGAAGGATTCCACGAAGTGTCCTTCCCTCGAAAGGAACAGCGTACCTTCTAGGGAACAGAGTTTTGCACTAGGAAATGCACAGGTAATTTAAAAGGTTAGAGACCTTCGGGGAGGTTAGCTTGCTACCTTCAAAGGAAGGGGGCCAACCGCCGCGCCGGCGTCAGCGTTAGAAAGTTCATCTCGGTCGCTGTTTGCTTTAACGCCTTGGCGACTCGTCCGCAGTTATCCAAACGAACGGAAAGCCACTCACGAGAGCACCTGTGGAGCTTGGGCGTTGCTTTTGTTCTTCCAACCTCTGTCTTTCTCCTTCCCTTCCTCGCTGGTATCCCGGTGGCCCTCTGCTTCTACCTACCTGTTGTGTTACTTATGCCTGAGCGGCCGATCATTCGGAACACGGGTCACTTTAAAGGGATTAGCACAATTTTCGACTCGGATTCCAGCCTCCAGGCTTCGCCTAGTCGCTCCTAGCCAAGTGAAAATTAAGACGCGTCACGGTTCCGACGTGAGAAAATTACAGGTCCACGTTTTCGAGAAAATCTTGGCCGCGGTTCGCTCGAGTTGTCCAATGGACGGACGTACTAATTTGCGGCTCTTAAAGTCTGCTCCTGGAACGTTGCTTCGGACGACACGGAACTCCTATTTGGGAACTCGTGAAAGCGTGGGATTTTGATGGATCGCGGCTTCGCCGGGATCGACGTACGAATCCGATCGTCTTTTGCCGCCCGCTTCTGTTTGCATAAGTGGATGACACCGCTGAATATTTAGCATCGGGTAAGCCAGTGGACCCCTCATTTTTGCTTCGAGGGCCGATGCGGAGACGTGGACTCCCTACGGAGGTTCGTTCCGAAGAAACTTGAAAATTAATCTTAGCTGTTATATACGAAGAGCCGGGAAAATATTAGGAAATTTTCATTTTGATTGAAAATAGGCATTGGAACTTGGTATGCGCGTGTCGTGAGTAGGCTGCGGGTGTTTATGCGTTCATGAGAAATGTAAACGCGCAAGAGTTCTCCAACAGTTAAAGATCAATTTTAAATATGAAGCTAGCGAGCATAGCGGCGTGGAGCATCGAATATAAATCGAGATGCATTTTCTCTTGAACGTATCTAGGTTTTTAGTTCGCAGGAGTTCTGCTATTACTGTTATTACAACTGCTGTTTGCGATTCGCGGATACGCGAACACTTTGCCCCGTGAATCCGAAAAATATGCAATCCCGGGCACGAGATGCCGGGATATGTTGATTCGCAACAACACGCATAGGTTTCCCTTAACGATCGTTGAGGAGGAAGCACGTTTGTCGCGGGGATTCCCTCCAGTCACGGCTGAGGCATCTGAAAATACTGAAAGAAAGTTGGTGAAAATATTTTGCAAAAATTGTACAAAGCGAAATGTACTAAACGGTAGGAAATTAAAGGGAAGTGTGTAAGAATGAACGAAACTGAAGGAAACAACCGAAAGTGATCAAGACCGAAGAAAACTAGACAAAAACTACATAGAATTGTATGTAGAATTAACGAAAATTGAAGAGGATGTAAGAAAATCGAAGAAAACTGAAGAGAACATAAAAAAAAATTGAAAACTTGACAGAAACTGTACAAACCTGAAGAAATCTGAACAAAATCTAATAAAACTGAAGAAACTTGAAGCAAACTGAAGAAACCTGGACATAACCATCGTTGTGTTATTATTGTGACGATTGTAATAATTGTTATGCATGTGATGATCGTTTTAGTAAACCATTTTAACAAAATTAGTGATCACTATAACTGTTTATTGTATTAACGACGATTTCTACGATTGATGCCTGTGGAGATTGATGTAATTATGATTGTTAATTATCGTGACGATTAACGTTTGATTATGGATGTTTGATAGATTCATGAGTGACAACAACCTGGACGGATGAAAATGACGACACGTCCATCCTGGATGTACTAACTACTTACCGCATTCTACCCAAATAAATAAAGGATGAAGTGAAAATCTCAGTGAAAACTGGGTCGACCGCAAACGGTGTCCGTTCGATTCGTGTTAATTGAACGAACGTGGCGAAACGTCGGTAGCGAAGAATCGTCGCGTCGATCCGTCCATGAAAAACCAATAGGAGATCCCGCGGTGCCCGCGATTTTCCGTTTGTTCTCGTGGAACTTCTCGAGCGAGACGAAGTTATAAATTTGTCCCCTGGGAAAACAACTGGCAACAACTCCCGGTACGCGAAAGCAGGCGACCACCACTCCTGGTTGCATCCTCATCCCTCATCCTCCAGAACTCGGCCCGGTTACCACGATCCTGGGAGTTCGTAAATGCATCCATGCACACGTATTTTATGGCTAGCTTTCTCAGCTTTCCGTCTCCCTTCGTTTTATCGTCGCTCTCCTTCCTCTCATAGTTTTCTCCGTTTCTTCACCGATCCGCCACCCCCGCCCGACCGTCCCGTACCGCCAGAAACTCCCTGGGACACCGAGCAGCCCCCGTTACACACACCGCGTTCTGGGATATTTTCGCAGGATGGATTCTTTTTGAAAATACTTAAAACTTCGACGATTTGTCGTCCGTGTACGAGTCGAACTCGATAAAGCGCTAGAATCCATCGCGTCGCGGCGTTACGGACTTGGAAAAGGACCGTCACGGGGAAGAGGAACGAAGTGGCCAATCGATGCGGACCCGGTGTACCATCCAGGAGATGAAGAAAAAGATAGCAGAGACGAGACCGAACCGGCAGGGGGAGGAAGAGCAGGGAAAGGAATGAAACAGCGAGACCAGAAGAAGGAAGGACAAGCTGAATCATTCGTGGCAACCGAGATAGACGAAAGGGGTATCCAGGACAGAGACGGAGCTGAGATAAAAGAGAGAGAGTGAGAGAGAGAGAGAGAGAGAGTGAGAGTGAGAGAGAGAGAGAGGGAGAGAGAGAGAGAGAGAGAGAGAGAGAGAGAGAGAGAGAGAGAGAGAGAGGGCGGCGGGGTAGAGGGGACAGAGAAAGAGAGAGTCGTGGAAGAACTTAATCACATAAAATCCTTAAAGTTCGCCCTGGCGCGACGCGATGCACTTTGATCGCAGAATTTATGTTCGGGGTGCAATGTACCGCCATTATATTCTGTGCTCGTCGGTGCGTGCCGTGGAAAAATTCATCGTGGAGACGTAGAGGCGGATTCGGTTTCCCCATTGATCGGCACGGTAGGTTGGGACACGAGGAGAGAGTTGTTTCCTTCTCCCCCCGCTCGTCATAAGAAAATATTATTCTTCCCAGAAAAAGTCGGTGCCCCACGAACGAAAGATTCCAAGCTCCTGCGAGGACCGGCGGCCCGGCGTTCCAGGGGATTTTCTGCAAACCAAAGGGGTCACTAAACTCCTTCCTCTTAACCGCTTTACGGATAATTACGCCGTTCGCGAGATAAATCGATCCACTTCGCTGTTTCGATTTTTTTCAAAGCGACGAATCTCAAGTTCTTGAAGTTTCGAAAGACTTCGGTTGAGCTGCTGTGCAGACGTGTTGTGCAGACATTCTTTCTTGTGGATTAAAAAATAGTTTCTGTTTTTTTTGTTAATATCCTTATTGCTCGAGGTCTTTAACGTATTTCTGTGAAATTGTAATTGACAATGTTGTAACTGGACTGCGGATTTTGTACATTTGTAATGTACAATAATATAGAAAGCATACGTAAAATATACGGTAACGTACGTTGAACATATTCCACAATTAATATTATAATATTCTTATTTTACTTTGCATTAGTGCACATAACTTTTGGTTACGTTTAGCACGTGCTTCACGTCTTATAATATAATTCTCGTTAATTAATAATTGTTTAAATATTTATGATAGTTAAGATTTTATGTACAGATATATAATAAATTTATTATACATTGAATAAATATTTATAGTATAAATTAATATTTAAATACCCCCACCGAAATCCATAAAAAAACCTGGATTTATTAGTTCATACCACAGATCCATATAATCTGCAGTATAACCGTTTATATCATAGGTCTGTCAGGCCGATTGAACATGAAACTTTGAAAGGGTATTCTTTTACACCGTGTAACGTAAGATCTAAGTTTAAAGTGTTGCCATTTTCTCCTTCCACTTTCTATTTTCAGAGATACATTAGTACCTATGCATAAAAAGTATGAGAGTTGGTAGCATTATCGTTAAATTAAAAACTTCGAAGTAAGTAAGTTTTTCCTGTGCGATCGTTAAAAAAGTTTCCCACACTTGGACGTTACGAGTTTACTTCGAAAGGTGTGCTAGATCTCTGACCATGTAGAACATATCGATACTTGAAACTTTAAACGCGTTATTCTTGAAATCATGTCTCTCAACCCGGTTGACAGCATAACTCGATCAATAATTATCCTGGCACTTTCGAATATGTTTTTTTTTTTTTTCTTTAAAGATCCTCTAGCAGATCGCTCGTATCTCCAAGAATGTTTCATATTTTTGGATGAAAATTTTTGTGTTATACCGTCAAGCATATATCATTCGAACAGAGAAGCACTGATTATAAAATATATCGACCGAGTACAGAAAAAAATTCGCGAAAGAGTGCCTCTTTTCAACTTTGCTAGCGCTTCCGGATGGAAATTTTGTTTACACCATCGAGCGTATATCCTTCGAACAGAGAAGCACTGACTATAACATATATCAACCGAGCACGGAAACAAAATTTCCTTTTCTTTTAATCTTGCAAGTACCCTTAATCACCCCTTAAATCGATAGCCGAGCCGATAGTCCCGAGGATTCGCTAAAGTCCCGCGCGACCTAATAATTTGAAAAGTTGCAGCTCGGCCTTGAAAGCCACTCGAATGGAAAGCCCGATGCGCCGAGGGAAAGCCTCGCGATTAAAGGGTACGCGAAAATCGGAGCAGAGCGTGCTCAGGAATCGGTCGAGCTTCTCTCCTGGGGGAACATTACGTCGATAGCACGTAGATACGAGTAATGTCCGCTGAAAAGAGCGCTCGGAGTTTTTATGGTCGGTTGGTAAAGTCAGCAAAGACAATGAAAACATCTCTGTAAATCAGGAGAGAAGACCGGTAAGGAGATTAGTAGAGCTTACAAGGTATTACGCCGAGACGAGGCGGAAGGAGGCAGGCTACAGAGTCATCTCAACTTGGAAGCTGGCTGACCTCGCTTCGTCCTTTTTCTTCTTGGCCTTTCCTCTCCACTTGTATCTGCCGCTTCCTCTTCGGCTTTATTTTTCCTCCTTCTGTCGCTCTTTACCAGTACTCTTGGAACTTGACCCCCCCTCTCTCTCTCTCTCTCTCTCTCTTTCTTTCTTTCTCTCTCTCGCTTCCTTTCTCTGATTCTCTTGGGAGCTGCTCGCGCGGAGTTAACCACCCATGAAGCGGCACAATATATCTCGGAGATAATTCGCTTGTTAGGGTCGTATGCCTTTACATTAATCCATCTGCTCGCAGTCTTTCTTGTAACCGCCTCTTTTGCACGTGAACACGACGACAGGGTCCTTTGCGGCGTCGCGCTCGCCCGGGGAAAAATTGCCGTCTCAATTTAGCCGAGGCAACACCTATTTAGCTGCTTTTCTGTGACTTTAGGTAACGGTCGCGGTTACGCAACCCGGTAACGCGATTTTGGTGCTCCAGTTGCGCGTTTCGTGTCGGATGTTCTTCGCGTAGGACGATCGCTAGGGGAACGTGTTGAATATTAACACGTTTATATAAATGGCGATACATATTATATTCTTGTATTGAATATGAAATAGCTTGAAGATTTCAGAGATTGTATCTTCCTGAAGAATTCCACGTTACTTTTGTACAAAAATTCGTTAGTTGGTTTATTATTAGTTTATCGTTAGTTTGTTATTTATAGTTCAGGGTTAGGTCTGGTTTGGTATAATACCTAATATTTATTTGAATTGTCACCTGGCATCAAATTGTTATATCATTTAATGAAATGTGAATTGCGTAATGATAAAAGACTGGAGGGAAGTGGAATAAAGAAAACGTAACTGTAGAGCAAGGAAGAAAATTGAAGAAAACTGAAGAAAACTCAACAGAACTGTACCGAACTGAACAGAACTGGAGAAAACTGATCAAAATGAAAAACGACTAAGCAATAGTGAAGACAAGCAATGGAAACAGTACAAAACTGGTCTAAACTGAATCAAACTTGACAAAATTGGAGCAAATTGTGCAACGTGTTAAAAAATGGACCGAAACTAAATAACCTGAAGAAAACACGAGGAAACCGATACAGTTATTTTCGTAGCACTCGTTAGCTTGTTTTCTTCATACCGGCGAATTTAAAGACCTACGAGAGCGTTGCGTTTGTCCGACATGTTCGGTCGGTCTTACTGTTACGGGTATACCTACGTCAACGAAA